TTTAGCTGCCGGATTGCAATTTTACTGTGGAGGACAATGTCTATTGGTGCAGCGGAAGCAAGGACTTGGAGGGGCTGTCCTACAAGCTTTAGTCGTTCTCAGGAGCGCTATTCTTTGACTCTGCTCGAGGATGCTTCTACTCCTGCTTTGCAATTTTGTTCCCCAAGCTGCTCCTCCGTACGTGGCAATGGGCAGATATACGCTTTTGTAAGTGATGGAGCCCTTGGACTCAGCCCCCATTTTGATTTCGCGATCGAGCTTAGTTTCGAGAAGACGCATCTCGTCATTTCTCTGATCTTGATGGCATGGTTTGTAGGACTTAGCCTTTCTCCCAAAACTATGCCTAGGTACTTTACCTTTTCGCTTAGCTTGATTCTTTTCCCTTCGATCTTAATCACGGGGCTTGTACTTAATTTGCCTTTTAGCATTAGCGATGGCAATGCTAAATATATCTAAAGATGACAAAATTAAGTTTTAACAGGCGATTTCAAATTACTTTGAAAATCGGCTCAGTCCCATTGTTTCTCTCCTTGGAAAGAGTAGACGGACAAACCAAGTCATTGGTAATGTTGAGAATGAGTCGGCCATCAAAAAAATTTGAAATCGCCTGTTAAAAACTTAATTTTGCCAATCTGTAGACATATTGAGCATTGTTTTACCCTGATGATGATCTTAAAATACGTCGAAAACACTTAAAAATAACAACTGAATTTGCTTTTACATTCCATACCCTGATCCAGAGTATTTGTGGATATAAAATTTTAATAATTACAATATTATCATGAATAGATTTTAAAAACGTTGAAGATATAATAATAAATTAAAGGTGTACATATCAAAAGAAAATCACCTTGTGAAATTGTAATAGACTTTTAGGTTAATTTATTTTGCCACAATGTGATCTTAGCGCAATGGTGTTATATTACAAAGTGTGTAATATTAACACTAAAATTGAATTAATATTGCATAAAAGAATAGTTATAAAATCTTAACTTTCTTCTTAACCTTAGTACTTAAAGAAAGAAATTAAAACAAAAATGATTTTTAGTGACTAGTTTAAAATTTGGTTTCTAGTAAGGTCTAAAAATAGGTTCCTGCGTTTTGCTGCCTCCTGGAGGAATGTAACTTAACTTATCTGATCTCCTAAGCGCAAAAATACAAATTATTAATTATTATTATATTAAAATACATTTTGAGGTTAATCATGTTAATTAGAAGGGGGATGCACCCTCTCATGTTTTTATTTTGATATTGCACTCCTGACTGAAAGGGTGGAGCGATTTGAAAGAATTTGGTTCGGTCTATCTCATACATGTCCGATTTCGCTCAATATTTTTTGTTTGTTTACGAACAAATCCTCAAAAGATTTTACACGGGTTTCAAAAGGCGTTAACAGATATGCCGATTAAATGACGGTCGACTGTCAGGATATAATGAAAAGGAGAACAATTTGTACGTAAGGAGAGGTTGAGTAGGGAGGGTGTGGGGGTTGTGGAAATCAATGAGGCGCGTGTGTGCGCTTGTGCAGGGTGCCGGCTTGCAAAGAGGAGCTGGCCAAACCTCGCCAGTCCTTCTATCACCACCCTCCTTCTCCGAGGTAAGTGAATACCTGTTGAACAATCTACATCCAACAAATTCATGAAAAATATTTTTGATACTTGAGACAAATCGCGATCGATCGCCGGGAAGCGGGCGCGGCTCCTCGGCAGTCGGTCGGATTTTGACAGGACGAGAAAACGGTCCCTTTTTTTCCCCGGTGTACTTCTAGCCTCCCCTATAATTTACGCCGCCCTGGAAAACACGATCCTGCTCCCCGCCCTTTAACCCTCCCCCTGCTCGCACACAACCCCCAAAACACACTTTTACTATGGTCGGTAAAGGAGGGCGACCCGGGTCCTCCCGACGTCCTGCCACTCCTGCGAAATGCACATAAATCCCATTGAACTTGCACTAACAAAGGTCATACGGAAGGACTCGTTCCAAATCGCCTTAAACTCTTCCCAGCTAACCTTGTTCTCGACCGTTACTAATACTACACTAAAAAATCAACTATTTTTTAAAATACTTTATTTAGAACTAATAAAAAAAAACAATATTTCCGTTAACAAAACTCGTTTAAAACCTTTGTTGATAAAACATTAAATTTCAATTATATTTATTAATAGGTTTTCTCTAACAATAAGACAAAGTGTTTACTCTATAACGTTAGTGCAACTTTAATTTTTACATTAAATTTTGATTAGACCATTTTGATATTCAACTTTAAAAATATATTTTTAAATCACGAATATGTTGAAAGCTTACAAATTTTATAGTTTCAGCCAATTTAAAATTAACACACTTTTGCATGAAGTATTTGTAAATCCATGAGAAAATTAAGTTCAAACATACTTATATTATGATTTACGTTTTACAAGTGATTTAGTTAGAGTAGCAACAAAACCCTGTTTCGTGGGTACGGAAAAAGAAGTGGGCTTTCAAAACCTTCCTAAAAACCAAAACATGTCAAATTCTATCAAATTGTTCGGATATATTTCTGTCCATAACACATCGATTTATACGTTATAAACTTATTAGGCTTCTATCAAAATATTCTGTTGCGAATAAATTTCAGGCTTACATTCTTAAAGTAGGAAATTAAATCTTGAATAAATGAGTACACTACAAACATATTTGCTCCAGGGGTCGAGTGAATTTGAATTTTAAATTGGTGAAAACAAAGGAAATATGATTGACGTCCATATGGTCATGGGATGTGTCCAGCATTTGCTTCCATACATATTGGCCTACATATAAATGCATTTACTCTGAACTAGTGAATAAACTATTTTTAAAGGTCGTGAAGTTGTATGTTTTAATTGAAAAAACGAACTTTTTAACATCAGGCGTTTCAGTTTCAAGTTGGATTATTTCAGATATAATATCTATATATTTATTTGAATATATAAAATTTCAAGTAAATTTGCGGGAAATTTGAAAAAACAAAAAGTCATTACAGAAAACCTTTTGACTTTTTTTTTAATTTCCGTTTATTTAAACATATTCTCCTCTTTTGAGTGTGTATCTTAGTGAAATTATAAACTATAAAATAAGTTAACAATAAATAATTATCGATAAGTTCATATGTTACATTACGTTTACAAGACAATGAAAGTGGTTTGTTTAAAAACAATTTTTAAATTATTAAAATACATGGCATAATATCTACAAATTTCCCCCCAAGAATGATAAATAGGTAGTGACAAAGTAGAGGCGAGTAATCAAAAACAAAATGAATAATGGTTAAATATTGGCCCTCGTGGTACGATGTTTCAGAATTGTGTCTACTTTTTCTCTTCCTCTTATCTCCCATTTTATCCTATACGGTATATTTTTATTCCTTTCACTATTCACGATTAAAAATCGAGCTTCCAATTTTTGTAGTAGAAATCCAAGGGTAATCAAAACATCGAAACTGCCGAAAGGATAGCCAAGCAATCAGTACAAAATTTGCACAAATTAAATTGATTGTTTCGGTTGCCATGATATTCATGAAAAATCATTATTACGTCTTGTCAAAACTGGTATCTTAAAAATGAGAAGTTATCCTTAGGCGGGCGGTCTAATAAAACTTTTCATGGAATGGAGGTTCATGGTCCGTGTTTCTTTTATGAATAGGATAATACTCTTTCCAAGAAAATTTATACACAAATGCCATGGCTCCATTAAAATACTATGAGTATTTTGTGCACATTTTCAAACGCTATTAACGTTATTTCGTTTTAACACTCAGATTTTTTCGGGCTGTCTCTGATATGACAGAGATCGTGTTGAAAAGTATACAGCAGTTGTTATCGAAGTAAGTTTGCTTTTTCTCCTACTCTCATTTCTCATCTTTTCACGTTTTCTTACACGCCATATATTTCTCACTTTTACTTCCCTCAACTTATAACAGAGCTTCAAACTTCTGTTGCAAAAATCGAAGAGCTTAGCAAAACATTGAAGTATGGCGAAAGAGCAGCCGACCGAATACCAAAATAAAATTGTAAAGGTAAATTTGATTTATACGGGTATCATGCCAACCGTGAAAAAGTGGAACATAATTTTACTTGTTAAATAAAGGTTTGTTGGATGTTTTCTTTAACAAGACGTCTCATGGAATGGAGATTCATAGGTCGTGTAACTTTTTTGAACGAAAATTCATCCTAAGAAAATTGATATTTCTCCGTTGAGATACTATTTATTCTGCCCATACCCTGCGTAACGGTTTTTATAAAGGCTTAAAATACAATATTTCGTTTCTACACGTCCTTTTCTATCGGTTGTCTCTCGAATAATAGAGGTCGCGTTGAAAAATATATCTCAGTTACTATCACTTGTACTGTAGGTTGTTGAACAATAGATTACAGCATAGAATTTTCTTAATTAACAGAACGTTTTCGACACCATCCTTTTCACTGTTAAGTACATTTGTATTTCCTATGATAATATTTTTGTTTGTGTTTTCTAGTATTGAAATATATCAGTAAAATTAACTATACATACCAGTCGACATCCCAACAATGGGAAACCTTTTATTAATTTATTTCTTTTATCTATTATGACCCCTATTACTCTTTGATTAAATTTTTACATTTTCTGTTTTATATAATATACTAAGTGCAGTATAGTAGCGCTGTAATATATTAATATAACAGACATATATAAAAAAGAAGAAAAATGTAATCAAAACGGGGCACATCAGCGGCGTACCTCACGGCTGAAGGGTTTTTTGAATGTATATATTGTTTATTTATTTATTTTTATTTTTACGAGGGTTCGCAACAGCAGAGGTTATATCAATCCTCGGAGTGCCGGTGTTTTTGAAAAAAAGCCCATTTGTAAGTATGTCGGGTTCGAATGCAGGGCCGCTGGATTCGAACCCGGGACCTTTACCTTGCAGTGATGAGCGCCGTGTCAACGCCTAAACCGTTGCGACCACCGACGCCCCCTGTATATATTGTTATTTGTGTATATGTTGACATTATGTTAATTTATTGGAATGAGTAAAATTTATTAGCGTGAAAGGAAGTGGTTGTTGAAACCCGCCCCGAGGAATAAAGTTCTGGGGTGAGAGTATGACGCGTGGAGAGTAAAAGTAATTTTATTACCGAGAATGGAGTGGTTTCGACCCCTTCCCGAGGAATATCAAGTTCTCTGGGGGAGTGTGTGACGTATGGAGAATAAAACTAATTTATTAGCGAGAATGAAGTGAGTTCGACCCGCCCCGAGAAATATCGAGTACTCTGGAGGAGTGAATGTGACCAGATTTCTAGTTTTGTGATGATGTATAAATATGTATTGTATGTTTTATGCCTATTCTATAGTTAACAATCTGAGGTACACACCAGAGGCTAGCATTTTAGGGTACTGACGTAGCATAAAAGCAAAGAGTCAATAACCAGTACACGCAGAGAGCCGGCGATGACCTCAGCTCTCTCTCTCTCTCTCTCTCTCTCTCTCTCTCTCTCTCTCTCTCTCTCTCTCTCTCTCTCTCTCTCTNTATATATAAGTAATTAGGTCATAATTAGTAAGATTGATTTCTTAAAGAGATAAATGAATAAAACATTGTTACGAAGTCCACTGGTGTGTACAGTTAATTTTACTAATATCTTATATTTTAACATTAGAAAACACAGTAAACAAAAAGATTTTTATAGGAAATACAAGTGTAATTAACAATGAAGAGATTCATGTCATAATGTCGAAAACTTTCTGTTAATAAAGAAAATTCTATTTGTTCAACAAACTGCAGCACAAGTGATAGAATTGTAGAGTAAAAAGCCCAAAGATTTAAATATTATTTTTTGAAAAATATCTCGGTTACGATTAGCCAGCTCTGCAGGTCGATAGTTAATTTTGGTTCTGGATCGGAATTTATTGATGGGCCGGGAAAACATATGGGTATAAATCTCTGGAAGGGTCGCAAGCGTGGGTGGTGAAGAAACTGGGAATTTACCACTATAGTCGCCACAATTACCATATGCCAAGAGTTGTACCCGACGGAATAATTTTCCACGCCCTATTCCGGGGGAAATTCCAGTGACTATTACAGACCATTTGAAGCTTGAATCACGTTTGAGGATTTAAAACTGTCGAAACAAACTAAAATGACTAGAAGAAAATTATGTAGCTTTTTTTAATGTATTTTTGGAATATCCGTCTTGGGAAATAGATAATATTCTTTCTTTCAATCTATTAAGGATATCTTGCTTTTTCAAACTACTCTGACGGATTAGGTCCATGTCAATAAAAGTCAAGGAAAATCAATTTAAAAAATTGCCCTTTAACAATATCAGACGTTGTGACAAATTCCCTGTACTTAAAATTGTTTATTGTAGTCGTATTTTAAAAAATTTACTCGTAATTTAAAAACAAGCAATCAACAAACCATAACGACTTTCTGAACGTTTGCCATTGAATTTTGTAAAACACTATTACTCTGTACCATAGGATATGTTGACCAACCGTCTTATTTTTTAATCGATCTATTTATTAAAATTTGACCAAAAAAATCTTGACGAACCATTAATTTGACAGTGATACTTATATTATATACATAATACTAGTTCAATTTCG